AGTAAGTGCTACTCATTGGCAGATGAACTAGAATCGTGTTTTTTGTCATTCATTAATGTGGCATGTACAAAAGCTCAACATTCCTTGTTAGAGCCGAAATATGACAATTAAAAGCAGCGAAATGTTTGCTGCGGGTACTGTCAAAAAATTTAATTCTAATTTATTTTCATCTCGTATGTACAAACATTATTGGTTGATTTTCCTTTGCAGGTCTACGGTGATGGTAGTTTTACGCGTTCATTTATGTACATATCCGATCTCGTTGATGGTCTAATGCGTCTAATGAGCTCCAATGTGACTGATCCCGTCAACCTGGGAAATCCTCATGAATTCAGCATTGAAGAATTGGCCCACATTGTAAAAAACCTTACAGGTTTGTTACTTAACTCATCGATATCTCTTCTCAACTTACAGACTGCCTCTGTCCCAGTATATTCCCTCACAACGGCTATATTTCAGTTCAACAAAAGTCAAAATGTGCAATCATCGTACAATGCTTCGTTTAGCGTTCGCTTTGAGCTGTTTCCTGTCATCTGTCAATACTTCAATATTTGATAAATTCCTCATTTTAAAGTGCATTTAGCCACCTTATTATGGTCACACCAATATCTGAATAAGACAGACGTCCAAGTAACTTAACATGTCCTAACAACCAAATGCATCGTACATTGGGTATCTACTTGGCTTCCAACCGACTTTCCTCTGGGCTCACCCTCTTTGTCGGGGGTCATTAGTGCTTCAGGGCATCTGGTTCTTTGTAATCTTGAGTAAACTTGCTTGCGTTATCACTACTGTTATTGTCTCTTTCTGGTGGCCCAGAACGATTGGGATATTGCAGTCACAAAAATCATGACTACGTACTCGAGGGTACGTCAGCGTTGAATGCCCTAAGGGATTTATTGTCTTCCGTTGTGTCTGGATTTCTCAGTTACGTGAACTGCGTTTTGTGTCATATCGCTTCATGTAAATCTAACGCAATATCATGCAGTAATTATTTACTTGCGTTCATTCTGCGGTCAAATCTGCTTTGCCTGTACAACTATTATTTCTAAGAAATCCTTGTGTGTGTTTTATCTAGAGTTCTCTTATTCATCTTAGGAAGTTCCTCAAAGATTATTCATAAACCAGAAGCAGTTGACGATCCAAAGCGACGAAAACCCGATATAGAAAGAGCAAGGCGTCTCTTAAACTGGAATCCGAAAGTGGAGCTCCACGAAGGCCTGCAATTAACTATCAAGGCGTTTCGTGAATCACTGCGCGCTAATCCAGGCCATGGATCACCAAAGTCTGGTGAAAAACTTCGCTTAGAGGGCCTCTAAATAACTCCTTTCTTACCATTATTAAAAATATGCCCGTATTTTTATTTTCTTTCGTGTACCTGTGTACACTACTTTTGTACTGTATGAATTGTTTGCATTTCACTTGTTTTTTAAGACAAAATCATATCAGCCACATTGATCACTTAGCCAATTTCTATTCTGCATTTATTTCGCCCTTTTTTAACTAAAATAGGTTACATTTGGCATGTATTTTTGTTAAACTCTTCATAACTGTGGAAAACTTGGTTTAAAAACGCGTGCATAAAAATGTTAAAACGATGTGTTGTGTTGACCTTGTACTTTTTGACAGATAAAGACTGCAGCTGAGGAAGTGGGCAGATCTAAAACCTATTTGCCTTCCACAGGCGTTCGGTACACGGCGTCGCCGCGTGTGTAGGTGGTCGGAATGACGCTTTGCTCACTTAAGCGAATTCATTTCTGATAGAACGGGAAGATCAATCAAGTAAGCGGTGGCAGCGCTCGAGGTACCGTTGGCTAAGCGATACAACTTGTTGGCAAATGGGAACTTTGGGAATATAGAAAAGATTGAGAAAATTGTCTTTAGACGTAACAAGTCGCTTTGAGCTTAGTAATTTGAAAAGTTTGGTCCAAAAAGGCTAAAATGAGACAAGGTGAATTCGTCGGAGCATCTGGTTAAACACTAACTCAAGAACACATACTGGTTGTTTACCAGGGAATTGTGGCAGATTTGTTAACCTGAGTCATCAAATATAATAATAATGCTCTATTCGGAACTGCTAAATGCACTCCTATGTGTCTATATGACGCCCGCATTTGAAGTTGCTAATGTCTCTCAAAACTAACACCTAAAAAGTAGTCCTAGATTGACAGCATCATTAACGGTAGTATGTTATCAATCAGCTCCGTAACTTCTCGTCTCATTCTCATCCATTGTTAAGCCCCATTGTCAGTGAGGAGGTGTATTTAACAAAGCAAAACCTTGTGGCTCAATTCGGCGAGTTTTTTGAGTCAATCGACTGTATTAACGTCTGTTCTACCTCCAACTAAACAGCAACTCCTCAATATTCATTAGCTTCCTGATCGTGAAACAGAACCACCGAATGGACAAACTTTTCTACGGATCTAATTTACCGGATTGGGTCCACGAGCAGTGCATCATACGGAAAGGATAACTGTAAACCACTTATCAATTTGTCAGTCTTTGGTGGGCACCAAATCCGTTTTTGGATTATTATTAGGTGCACAGTAACTAGTAGAAAATGTGACAGAGTCAAATTGAACTATGCAAAGTCAAGTGGGACTAAAGTACCACTAACTCGGACCCCTTGCCATAAGTTCCAAAAAAATTAAAACCTATAATTCTGAAAAAACGTTTCAGGGTTTCAAAAATGAATACGTGGTACGTTAAAAGCGCAGCCACCTGAAATTTTCGTGGTTGCCAAGCTTATTTTAGCATCATTTGCTCTCTTGAAGCCTGCTATACAGTCAAAGTCTGACTGTCCATTATAACAGTACTGACCCTCCCACTGTATGTCGTAAGGACCTAATTAATTCGCCTTATATTCCATTTCTGTTACCAAGGCGATGGAATATAGGCATCAGAAGCTTATAAAATCACCAGTTTTAAAAAATGATTAAAAATATTTTGCAAAATATCTCACAGATTTTTAAGTGGTTCAGATTTACGCTTACCGTCAGACCGCTTCCAAAGCTCTCCGAACAAACAACCCAAATAATTGCTGACTAATTGCGCTTCAAACATTTATGCAAATCAATTACTGGCGTTCGAACACGAGTGACTTTCTAAGGAGTCATAGGACCTTTCTATCCCTTATTTTCTGAATGCGTTTCGTCTGGATCGAACAGGAAAGGGCTTGGCCTTACGTTAGATGCTTTTAAGCTACAGTTAACTGCCGTCAAACACCATTGCTACACTACTGAAATCAGTCTCCAGAGGTTATCACAGTTCTTCTCAAACTTATAGCATAGAAAGTGAAAATAGATGCGCGTTAATTGGTGGTAAACTCAGAGTCTACGGGAAGAAGCCCTCATTTTTAACTTTAGATGGAAATCCAGTCAACAAATATCCGTTCTACACGGCCGTAAACGTTGGAGCAAATAGACTTAGGAACGAAACATTAATGAGACCACTTCTATACAAATAAATTGGACCTTGATGACACGTTTTATGCAAAACCCAGACATCGTATTACAAAAGACATACAAGACAAAGTGAAATTTACTGTATACTTTTTACAAGTATCCGTTCTGTGTACATAGTTATCGCTTAAATATCCGTGTGCTTTTAAAGGCAAGAGGCGCAGAAAGGCGAGCGACGGTGTGTTGGTGTTTCTCTCCCTCAGTAGTTGAATCGCTTACTTCCAGGTCCCGTTTGGCAAAGTTGCATCCAATAAAGGAGTAGTAGTTTTTCAGGCTAAACAAGTCAGGTAGCTGGTTCATTAGAAGTGAATGATTGCAAAGATGGGATTAATCGTAACTACTCTCATCTGACAGACATCGAGGTAACGGACTAATTCAATGAGTCACAAAGGGCATTCACCTTACAATTTACACTAAAGGCCAAATGCCAGTTAGCCCATCGATTAATAACTCTCTTGCCTTCTTTGACATTATGAATCTGAGTAGCTTTATTTGCACTAACATACATCGTTGGTCTGATTTACGCGAGGTGGAATTTATGATACTACCAAGAAATTTTTTATGGTGTGTGTGCAAATCTGGTTGCTCTACATCACGTTGAGACTACTTCTAAAGCACAATGACGTCCCAACGTGATGTAGAGCAACCAGATTTGCACACACACCATAAAAAATTTACTAATTTCGTTCTCACAAAAAGTCCCTACAAACTAGCACGACACATGTGGCCAGTACACAAAAGCAAGTGTATTTCGAATTCGTGTTGCTGAAATAGCATATTTAAGAGTCACATGGATGAATATGACTTATGCACAAGACCCTTAGAATTTTATGCTTTCATTAGCCAGTTTTGGGTGGCGAATTGAAAATAGTAGCTACATTGATATTTCACCGCACGTGACGAGACTCGGGTACTCACCGTAAGGTGGAAAGTTTGAAATCAATGGAGAGGTTGTCGACTACTGTAGCAAAGTTGTCACAGTGAAGGAGGAGCACAAGTATATGGTATATCAGTTTGTCTCGAAGTGTAGGAGTCATGGTTCTACAACAAAAGTAAAACTGCTTTAGAGCATAATTGAGTAACCGCGCTAAAACAATGTTTGGAATACACATTTTATAAAAGAATATTTGAAGGCAGTTGTACTTAACAAATACCACACGAATCGTAAAGTGCTTCGAATGAGAATAAGGCATGCTGAATTCAAGCGACGTACATCCAAACTGACCCATCCAAACACAGAAATTTGTGAACTGAAATGCACGGAAGAATGCCAACTATAACTTCCGGCCAATAGCGTGAGGACGAGGCCAAGACGTAAAAACAAAAACTAGAACAACATTCGGGACACAAAGAATAGCATTTCCAAACACAATATTAGTTTTTAGGGTACCCTCAAAGCACTTGAACTCATTTGTCTAGAACAACGTAGGAGCAAAGGAAATCTAAGGTTCTATGGGTTTTGTCTAGCAAAACAGAAAAAATTCATGTTAGAGCTTGCTAACCTTATTTTTGTTCGCTCATTTCCCTCCTTTGTTGTTAAGATGGTAAACTCCGACAATAGATGTTTTGATACCGGTAGAGGAGTGTTATTTAGTGGCGTTCTCTGCTGCAGCTCCCTTGGTTTTAATTGATACAATCTGAACATATGCGCAAGGAGAGCCAGGTTCGTGGCCATCTGCATTCGTGACACAGGCTTCTCGGACTTGTCTGACTTTCTTCTTTTCTTTACGACAGGTGTTGAAATACTGTTAGACTCATTATCCACAGGAAGATAGATAAGACGATCAATAATAAAATGTGGGTACTTTTTCTCAGTTACCCAGAGTTTGCGCACAGCGTCATCTGCTTCAGAAAGTGCCTTGGCTTCGGATGCAAGACTCTCAGATACAACCGAGGAGACAATTTTGCCAATGGGAAATACGTGCGAAACACAACGAGTGTTTTGATCAAAACTGGGCAGAAGTTGCTCGCGTTGGGAAGCGGAGGCATCGCCATTGAAGCTGAGCTTACTATCTGTCAAGTGTAAAGCAGAAACAACTGCGTAGAAATAAGACAAAATCGATAGGTATAAAGACTACTAAATATTGTCCATGAAAATCATACGAGCAATTAATAAAAGTGATTTAAAAAAAATCTGAACAGAATGACTAAAAACCCGCGTGAATTTTCCGTTACCGAATTTACTTCGAATTTAGGCCATAAGATACGTATGGCTTGCCGACGTACAAAGCGTTACAAAGAATGGTTAAGGAAAAAATGACTTCGTCAATCGATATTTACATGATCCAGTTATTATTGTGAAAAGTATTGTAAATTCCAATATAACTCACAGATATTTAATGCCGTCGAAAAAAGCAGACATTATACAGAATTCTAAATACCTGAGTTTTGGTTGTTCTTGGTCAATACCGACTGTCCATGGGCAACACGCTGTAGGACACTTGCATCATTAACGGCTGAAGAATGTGCAGCCATTTGATCTGCGGCCTTAATTAGTTTTTTGCTCTTTGCAGATCCAAAGGCCTGGGTTAACGAATCGCGCTACGCAAATAAAATAAGCAAAAGTACAAGGACCTACAGTGACTTCAAGAGTGCGAGAGTTATCCTCGTCAATACCCTCGACATCTAAGAAAAGCTCATTAAGCAAAACTTATACAAACCAAAGCTGGGTACTAAGAATTCGGGTAAATTGTAAGAGATTTGTACGCCTTTTGTTTTTTTATTGTAAACGACGGTTACGAAACTGAAAAACAAGGCAGTGCGTGCAAACATCTTCCAGGTACAACCCAAAAACACTGTAAAATAATAAGCTTCGGTATTGAGAATGATATTGTGTAACAAAGTGGGCGGAGTAAGAACAAGGTAACCGCGAAAACTGGCCCAAGTTAAGCCAATGTAAAGACGCACTAACATGAATACACCTTGAAGAATTAAAC